GCTGAGCCTTTTGGCCAGCCCTCATCTGGACTTTTTGTGAAGTTTTTCATGAAAAGGTTAATATGTACAATGAGTGAAAATGTATTTTTTTCTATCTTGGATGATCTTTGTAGTTAAAGTCTTTAGAAACTACCACTGTCATAAGGACTGTATGAGTTTGCTTATTACAGTTTGCTACTCTGAGAACTTAAACAGTAGGTATCTATAAAAGTGTAGGCATTAATACTGATATCTTCTTCTTCTTCTTCTTCTTCTTCTTCTTCTTCTTCTTCTTCTTCTTCTTCTTCTTCTTCTTTCTTCTTCTTCCTTCTTCTTTTATTCTTCTGTATTTTGGGGAAGGATCTACAGGGTGTTCAGGATCTTGCTGCTAGATTAGACTCATAGTGATCCTCTTTTTTATAGTCTCCCAGTACCTGGGATTACAGGCATGTGCCACCATGCCCAGTCTAATATCTTTTTTTTTTCTCTGAATGCCTTCAGGGCAGGTTTGGCTGGCTTGAGTTGTGGGGATCAAACCACAGCAACCTGAGCCTGACTGCTTTGTTGAAGCAGCCACTTAAAGAACTCAGCTAAGGGGCAAGCCCCCCTTTTTTTAAAAAAAGGAAAATGATCAGTTTTTTGACCAAGAAAAAGTACTACCGGTTAATTTCACCCCCAAAAATCTAACTTTCCAGCAGAAGGAATTCAAAGGACCTGAATACTAACTACTGCATATGCAGAAGGAATAAAAACATCGACATTGAACCTGGGGCCTTTGGGTGCACCCTTTTCCTCTCCTCTTAACTAAGTCTTTGAAGCAGCAAGCAACAGTTTTTTTGAGGACCACATCTTCATCCTATAAGTCCTCCCCCATAGTTCAAGAGACTGGCAGACACAGATTGAGTCTGCTCTCTCCAGGGACTCAGAAAGGCACTGTAGCTGAAAATGTAGGGCCCTACATTCTAGTGGAAATTCCTTTGATGGTTTTACTATGGCCAAGGAGACACCTGTATGTGACATTGGTGCATGTCACAATGACCCATCTCATGTGCCTTCTAGTTCTGGATGCCAAGATGATTCCTCTGTCAATTCCAGTGGAGATCTTTGAAGAAAGCTCTACAATACTGCATTAGACTGCTTTCTTTTGGAGACATCATTATACATACTTTATAGTTTGGTAAATGGAGGTTAAGAAGGTCAAGTGGTTTGCTAAAATCAAAAACTAAGATACAGAACTGGATTTTAATCTGAGCCTGTTCCCACAGTCTACAAGCTGTGGACACCATGCCAGGTGATGCTTGTAAGGCCCTGGGCCCAGTGTCTTGTATACATCAGGGAAAATTCAGCACTTTTATGATTCTTGGCTTTCTTCTTCCCATCTGAAGTCTGAGGAGATGGTGATAAGTTGAATGTTAAGATATTCTGGAGTAGGGTTTTTCTCAAAGGAACCAGAGAGGTCAATCCTGGTATAAGAGAGCAAGGAAGTATAAAAACTCGATGAGGAAGAATGTGAAACTGAAGTAGAGTCGTGTGTCAGCTAACAATGGAGATACATTCTGATAAAAGCCTTAGTAGGTGATTTCCATGTGTGACCATCAGAGTGTGCTTATCCAAATGATACTGCTACATCACGAGGTGATATAATCTTAGGGAACCACCATCACTATGCAGTATGTTATTGATTGACACATCATCATGTGCTCATGATTATAGGCATATGA